TACGTAGAACTAGTCGACAGTATCTGACTAGCAGATACCCTGCCAAGACTAATGTATACACATGTGCGTATTATAGTCCAATACAAACCGATTCACAAATCTCGTTCCATTAGACATTGATCTGTCTTCAACCATCCATCGACATCTCTTCAATTCAACCAAGTTCTCAGCACGTTCAGCAAATTGCACTTGAGTGGTGCCCAGCATAATAATAGCCAAGTCAAATAACAGTAAAACATAGTTTTTAATTAATATTAATATGGCTATTGGTGTATCTATTTAAATGTTATCAATGGACTCAATAGGGCATTCAACAAGTATTTTATGCCTCGCATCAGATCTTGCATGCGTGCATCCACCGGCGAAGCGACTAGCATGCGCTGTATGCTCATGCTGCCTAGATCCGCGGACTTGCAGTCCAAGCACTCGATGGCTTTCAGATTCACTTGGGGCGGCGCACTGGAACCAAGAACAAAGTGCTCGCGCACATTGTTAGCCAGCAGGCGCGAGTTGTGGAGGGTCCCATAGAATGAGATCCGATCGCCGCGATGCAGTCGTTGCGTAAAATTGCCAAAGTCATGATGCGCACGCAGCACCACATCCGATGTGGAAATGGCACGTCCCAGCAGACTGGTCGATGTCACCTGAACGAGCAGCTCGTACTCGTAGCGATTCCAACGCTCCAGCGTGCAGTGGCCCCTCTGTGCACCAAGCATCTTGATCACACGCTGCCACTCTATGCAGTCCTTCTCGTGCTGGGGATTGCATTCGAAATGCTGGGCAATGTTGTCGCCATGCACACAGCGCAACAACTGCCCCAACCATGTGGGCAGATAATTGCCAATCACATCCTCCAGTATGTTGAATACGCGAGCAATCTGAACGTGCGACACTTTACCCTCCCAAGCCACAGGCAAGCCATTGAGATGGGAGCAGCGTAGTTGGGCTTTTATTTTGTTCGGCTGATCGTGCACCGGCTGGGCGCATAGCTCATAGAAGCGTTCCCATTGCAGCGAATCGGACAGAGAGTGCATGCCCACAGTTGGGCTAGAGAGCACATTGGGCATGGCATTAAACCGAGGAGTATCCTTAAAACTGGACGTCATGTAGGGAAACACCAGCACACATGCGGTAGTGAGTCCCACCAGTAGCTGAAAACAGAAGTAGTATAAAGTATTGAAAATATTGGAGTGTTAAGTACTCACCTGCAGCATGGTGATGTACTTCTGTGTGGACCGGTTAACAGCCATAACGCAGGAGAGCAGCACCACCATGATACAGGCAACGGCCGTGGTGCCCCAGCGCAGATGCTCGCTTGTCAAGCCCAAGCTATCGATGGCAACGAAGACTGGTATCAGCAGAGCCACAATTCCAAATAGGGGCAGGAACAGAACGATGCCAGCCAGGCCGAGAGCTGCTCGCATTGCGCCAAACACTGTCGCGCTCTGGGACGTTACGATGCAAACCTGCAGCCAGCTAAGGGTAACGCAGTGTGGGATTAGGTAAGTGTAGACTCCATGCCAGCTAGAGCGTTTGGCTAGCAGGACAAGTAGGATAGGTATCAGTAGGTAGAGAGCTGTGCGGCAATTGAGGCAGAACTCAATGCCGTTGCCAATGACAAACGAGGAGAAGGTGGGTACTCGAAGATCAAGAAAGCGCCAGTGAGTGGAAACAACTTCGTCCAATTCGTACGGATACTTGGCAAGCACGTTGACGGCAAACGAAACGATTACCAGCCAGTCCGGTAGCAGCTGGGATGAGGCGTACATAAAGACGCCCAACGTGATGAATGTGTTTGCCCCCGAGATGATGGTCAGCTCGGAGTGGGGCAGCCAGGCGTCGGCGACCAGCGGATAGACAATTAAGTTACAAATGAAAGCACAAAAGAAATACAGATACGGTTTCATATTGTTGCGCAGGAAGCGCTGCTCGGAGATCTCTGCCTCGATGTTGTGATCGCCGTAGCTTAGAAATAGGCCAGACCAGATGCGGAAGTCCACAAATTGTTGTTTGGTCTTGAGCATGCGACATGTCGACCAGAGCATCACGCCCAGACTGAGATAGTAGCTAATCATCGGCAACATATGCCGTTCGCTATCTTGTACGCTGCTCCACCAGGTCAGCAGGACGAGCACGCTGCAACGTACACTCAGAGGTAGCATGGCGGGCAACGCGACGACCAGGTTGATGAATCGATGGTACAGTAGCGTAAAGAAAATCAATGGATGAAAGATCATGCGATAGAAACAGGGCACATGATCCAAGCTCTGTGGATGCGGCACGGACAACGTCAATGTCTCATTGACGCTGGGCATGCGGCCGGCGGAATAGTTTGAAGCAGCTGATACCAAATGCGCCTCGGTTATGAAACGACGCCGCTCGACATTTGTACGGCCAATGGTTGTGGCATCTTCCAAGGGTTCGCGCTCGCTCTCGCTGGTCTCCTCGTCCGTGTTGGATGAGAAAGCGTCATTGGTGCCGCGGCGTCGTCTTTTCCGTTGTAGATTATAAATGCGTCGCATTTTACGCTCCAGCTGCTTGGGTGTAATGTGCTCGTTGCCATTGGACAGGCAGGCGAAGAGCTCGCGGGCTGCTTTTCTTGCGGCGCGCTCTCCCGCCGTCATGGCCAGGCAGCGACGCACCTCTTCAGCATTTTCCGCCGTAATGCCATTGCCAGCATTGTAGCACTTTCGCAGCAGACACACTGCATCTTCATGGCCTTGCTGTGCGGCACTAACCAGCCAGTGCACCGCTTTTTGACTCTCCTGGCCATTGGCCATGTTGGGCTCTGCAATAAAGGAGTGGCAATAGCGTTCAGCCGTGCTGCATACTGCATACCTATGGCATCCTCCAGCAGTTTGCGTCCCAGATCATATTGCACCTGTGGACAGCCCTCTTCAGCAATGTGTTCCTTGAGCTTGTTTAGTGAAGCACGATCTAAGCGTAACAATGAGAGATTCACTTTTCGTATGCGAAATTGTTGCATTTTGGGTGCAGCTTGCAAGGAAATACCTTCGAGATTCCAACGCCTTCGTTTGCTGACACCTGTCGGCGCATTTTGTGTCCAGGTGGCCATCGCAGAGCAGCCTACTGCGAATTTTTTACGAGTTTATATGTAATTACGGGTTGTGGGTCGCACCAAGCCATTTGGAGTATGCTCATCGGAACGACTTGTAACAAATGAACTAAGTCAGTGGTTCATTCTTATTCGTTTGAAATACTTATCGTTCACGTTGCGGGAAGCCGAGAGCAAACCGGCAAAACGATTTTACCGTTTACAAACGGTAATATTATCGTTTTCCGTTGCACAGCTGAATATATTGTGTAATTTATTAAATACATTTAAATCAAAGCTGCCGATATCTCACTTCCATTATGTTTACAAAAACAACTGATGGCCCGATAACTGCTCGATAGCTGTGGACTATCGCTCTCTGTTCGATATGAGCAAACATCAGCTGTATTTCAGCTGTGGTATTTTTTTGTGGCGGGCTTCAGTTTGAAATATGTTTTTGCCTTTACTTAGTATTTTGAAATACGTAAGTAAGTTTTTTATTTATTTAAAAAAATTTGATTTGAGAGCATTTAGGTCATATTTATAGTTTTAAAGATACTCAATTAAAAGTAATTTAGAATATAATATTCTAAATTTGTATAGAAGGCACGGGGCTGAATAATTATGTATAATAATTATAATACTAATGCAATTCATTGTTTTATAAACCACTCTCGGATATATGTACATATATCTGTTATTATTTTACATACATATATACAGAAATATATTATTTATAGCTACCCTCAGTCACAATTGAGCCTCTCCAATTATTTAACAATTTTGC